AATTTGTCGCAGTTGGGGGTCGCCTTGCCCAATATTTCCTTTGAGACCTGTTTAATGCATGCAGTGGGAAGAAACATGAGCGCAGCCAAGAAGCAGGGACATGCAGGCCCGAACGCACTTTCACAAGTTCGAGAACGGGACCATTTCCGCGTGGGACATGTTAAGGTCCACACCCGGAGAGCGTGTTCCGGGGCTCAGGTTCGGTTTCTCGAGTTCCCTTTTGAGCCTTTGCCTGTCACATCGCCACAGGGCCGCGAGAGTCCGATCCCGATTCCGGTGATTCACCGAAGCTTCCCGTTGGTTCCAAGCCGAGGCCTTGCCTGCCGTATGAAGCCAACCAGGGAGCCCCTGTGCGAGGCTGCGAAGTTCATCGGGCACGATGAGGTTAGACACATGTGCCGTGTGCCCCTCCGCCTTCTCTTAAAGCAAGAGACTTAGAGCAGAAGTTTTTGCAATGTTGTCACGTTCTGGACTGGCTCACCGATCCCCAAAGCTTGGCCAACTCAACTGGACCCTCTCATGTTGGAAAGTGCGGTTTCCAGTGATCTCAAGCCTCTACCATGAACATGGTTCGAATTTGGATGCGCCCCTTCTTGGGTATCAACCCCTGGTGTAGGACAAGAAGGTCGTTTGCAAACAAAACTGCACAAACAGACTGACACCTTTCCAGTCCTGTGAGTCATCCATAGCCTGAGCTCTGCTGTTGCACGACGCTGGCGAAAAACTAGCACGTCAGCCACAAGGCATTGGCCGGAAACCGTGGTGACGCGCAACAGCTGAATTGTCCAGTGTTGTTTATTTGCCCCAGCACCGAAGCTGGCAGTGCCAGGTCATGTTGAGTAATTGGCGCTAGGGCCTTATGTTGCACTGACTGTCAGGTACCCGTTGACAGATGAGCATTTGGCAAGCGTATTAGACAGGTGACAGTCCCATGTGGCTGTATGGTGAGGGTAAGGAGGGTAACGGGACCTGTCCAGATGGTGGGCACCGTGCTGACCATGGCTCCGGAGATCCAGAGCAGGCGCTACAACGAGCCGCTTGATGCCATCCTGGCAGGCTTCTGCCGGGGAAGAAAGGTCGGGTTGAAAAGGGTGAAGAATTACTCAGCCATTGTTTAGGGTTCGGCGAGGATGAGCGTACGCAGGAGGTCCTGCTAAAATGAACGGATGATAACGGATGACAATCTGAGTGGGTTCGGGCGTGACTTCTTAGCCCCAGCAGCGACAGCTATGGGACCTTAGTCATTTTGCGGTGGATGGACCGGGGCGGTCCAAATCCGCGGCCAGTACTTTGGTTGAATTTTAGCAGTGTGGATTGTTTTTTGCCTGACTGATTGCTGTTTGGCAAGGGCCCTGGGTTGGTGAACAAGTCACTGTGGCGTGGCTGCGGCATGGCACATGTGTGCTAGTAATGGCAGGCAGCAAAGTTCGCATGTTCTTGGCGCTTTGAAGCCCATGACATTGTCCAGCGCCTGGCCCAGGAAAGTAGACATTTGGAGCATCGGCATGGTGCTCTACATGTGCGCGGTGGTCATGGACCCATGGTATCATGCAGAGGCAGGACATGTTGGAGGCTTCCCGCCCTGACAAATGAAATAGGTAGGCAGGTGACCCCTGGAATTGACGTTGTGAGCTCAAAACGGTATTGTGATAACGCGTGTTGCCTGAGCGTCCCATGCTGTACAGTTTGTCCATAGCAATCATTTATATATGTATATACTATATATATATATGTGTGTATATATATGTATGTATATATGAGGGGTTGGAGGCTTCCCGCATGTCTGCAACAAACCATAGGGTGCCCGACTCCCCAGTATCCAGCTTCGCCAGGACCCCGCGTTTGCCCAGATGTCTGAGAAGGAGATCCTGGACGCTTTGAAGAGCGAGGATTTGGTGATCCCTTATTACGAGGAGTATTGGTCTGTCAAGGCGCTCTGGGGCTGGGCATGCGCTGCTGTGGGGAAGAGAAGCATAGGTGAAGCTATAAAGTCTTCATGTAGTGAAACCTGAAGGTGTTCCTCGCCATCTGAGGCTTGAGACGAATCCCTGTTTGCCAAGGTGCCCGGAAGTTGTGGGGGTTTGAGGGGTGCTTCTTATTTTCCGGCTTTTGCCAGCGCCAGCATGGTAAGGCACTTGGCAGACGCAAGCTCATCCCTCTCACTGGACATTGTTGAAGTACTGCATAAATGGGAGGTGGCGACATGACTCTGTTTCTGCGGACGGAAACCCCTCGTCGTCTATTTGGATTGGGATTTCAATCATTTTGCTAAGCAAGTGCCTGCCTTTGAGAGGACTAACTGATGGCCATTATCAGTTGAGTGCTCCAAGTGCATTTCATTCCACGTTTCTCCGTGCAGGACCTGGAGATCCGGAAGTTGGTCCAGACCTTGTTAACGGTGGATGCCTCCGATCGGCCCAGCGCGCGGCAAGTGATCTCTAACGACAAGTGGCTGCGTACACTGGGCCGGGAAGATGGTTGTTGCTGCGCCATCGCCTAAAGGGCAGGCAGCGGCTTATCAGCCACCCAGAACTCCCAGCCCACAGGATCCATAGAGTATCTGGTCAGGGAGGTCACTGGAGTCAGCTGCGAGTTTTCGGGGAGGTGTTAGCTTGCACAGCTGTTGCACAATTATTGCCCTGCGAAGCAACATGCTTTGATTTGCGACGCAAATGGCAAGGTGCCTGGCAGTGTACAATGTCGTGTACAGTCTCGTTCCGCCAGACTGGCCCCGCTGTTGTCCAAAAGGCCGACCTTCTTATTTCCCTTTTTGCAGTGTTGGCCCATGCTTGGATTTGAAGGGTAAACCTTAAACTCCAGGTCAACTGAACCAGGCACAGGTCATTAGTTTTCAAGCATCGCATTTGGATACCTATCAAGTCACCACTCCAAATATGAACAATCCAGAAACTACCATCGATCCCTGAAGTCCCACATACCAGGGCAGCATGGGGCATTTGCTGCTCCGCTAGAAACTTTGCGCTAGCATGCGCAAGCGGTTACGCGTCTGGCCCTGTGAAACAGTTGCCCGGCAGCCCATAGCCAAACACGTGCCCCACCTGGGATGCCCGAGCCTGTGCATGCCATTACATCATGTCTGACGAGATTTCCAGCAAATTTGGGCTTCCGTAGTTTCCATGAGGGCTCAACATCATGGCATTGCAGAGCCCGGCAGCTCGGGACTAATTCGGGCGCAGAATGTTGTTCCTGCAAGGCAGCGAGCTTGGAATCGCAGGCTCATAGCTGGGCAGGCTTTTTAAAAGTAAGGACTCCCGACTGGGTGTTCGGCTGCAAGGTGAACGCATGCAAACAGGATGTTGCCGCTTGATAGCAGAGGGGTGCAATGAGGAGATCGCCGCGAGCAGCTGTCTCACCGTTCGAGGAGCCACGCTGCAGTGGATCTAGGTTGCCACATTGATTCGGCCTAAGGGGGATTGCGGTCAATCTATTCACGTTCTAGTACGCGAGACACACACATACACACAACACACACACACACACTCATATCTATGCGATTTCGGTACGTGGTACCCAGTTCCCAGGCATCTGCCAATATAGGTTTTGCTTTGCGACTTACGTTGTATTTTGTGAATTTCAATGTGTATTTGTTGGTCTCAAATGTCACGTGCGTGCGCTGGCCTTTGTCATGGGCTTCGTCATCCAAGATCTAAATGGACCGCAGTAGCATATATGCTGGCGATTCCCCGGGCACATCAGTGGCTGCAAAGAGGCCACGGCTCCGTCCGACCGTTGAGTCCACCCGCACCCGCAACGCGGCGCCTTGCGGGTGGGTGGGGTTTTCTGCCGGGTGCTTTAGCGGTCCCGGCCAGGCGCTCCCGCACTCTGCGCCTGCGGTTGGCGGGTTCAGATGTGGTGCTTGGGAAGCGGCGGCATAGCGGCGGCCACAAGCAAAAGAGCTGTGCTGGGTGCTATTGCTTCGCCATCCGAGTTCGACACTAGTTTCGGGCTTGTTTTTCCTAACAATGTCACCTCACATGGTAGGGTTGGCACCCCCCCCATCTTCCAAATTGAGCATGTTCTATGAAGATGATCAAAAAAGGGGTTGGACCCCCATTTTCTGCAGAAATGGGGCGGGGGTCCAACACCACCCCCCCAACACCAGACCCCTATCTTCGGCATTTTTCAAGCTAGCCCAATCCACACTCATCGCCCATCAATGGTGCGGATCCTCACGACTAGTCGCAACACGACTCATTTGCATGCTGGCGGGTCATTGCCTACCACGTTGAAATAGGCGCATTTTGGCTGATGCCCTGGACCCAGTCATTGCTATGGGCCAAAGGTCCCGCATCATATGCGGCCTGGGGGCCTCCTGCACTCCGCTGCTCTTCGCCTGGACTGCGCGCGCCAGGGCCCTGGGGCTCTCGTGGCACGTGTGCCGCGCAGGTCGCTATTGCTCTTGTCCTGCCGGGGTCGCTGTGAAGGTGGAGGAGTTTTTAGAAGTTGAACAGCCTGCAATATCTTTAGGGATGGGCTCGCGCAGGAACCCGAAAAACAGGAGGACTATGAGTGGCAGTCAAGGAGATGTTCATGTATACTGCGATTTGCCTTTGCCACGAGAGCGGCGTTTTGTGCCCGCAAGTTGAAAGCTGGTGGGGAAGGGAAATCATCCTTGAACATGTGCACCGTGCAAAGCCCGCGGAAGCTTGCGGAGTGTGAGTGTTGCCAAGAGATTGCGGAGTGTTCTCGGAGAGTTTGTTTCTTACGCGGAGTGTTCGCGGAGGCTTTGTTTCTTACTACTAAACTAAACTCACTTGCCCCACAAAACACACAATGGAAGTTAAGAAATTGAGCCCCTTGAGTCTCAACCAGCCAATTTCTTGCACAGCCCGAGGTAGAATTCGTTCATAGCTGGGGGGGCGCCACTGTTTGACCCTCACCACAAGAAGCAAGCAACACTCAGCTGCGCTGTGTGTCTTCGAGCTCGAAGAGCGAGGGTAGCCCTACCCGTAGGGTATACCGCTGACGTGTTGCACCCCAAGCTCCTCCTCAGCATTGCCTGCATCACCTGCACGCAGGCCGGCCCAAACACTTGGACCCCAAAACATCCCCAGCCTCCCTGGCCTTGCGACGGGCTTCTGATGCCACGTTGCCCGACCTTCAAAAAACACTGTAAATACTGTGCAAATCGCCCCGGACAGTCGCCAGCATCCCCGTCAACATCCTCTGCATCCTCGCAAACTTCGCCAGCATCCCCGGCATTCTTGCAGTACCAGAATCTAGGTGTTCCAGCATCCCTTACATGGGACGGGCTGCCGGGGATGCATTTTTTGGTCTGATTGGCTTTCGGTGTGACGCAAGCAGGCACACATCAGAACTGCACATGGGCGGTGTTTTTCCCCCTGAAGCCTGATTTGACATTACAGACCCCTATTCATGTTTTCATCGTTTGCTTCGGCATCCTTCCGCGGTGTATGTTTTGCAAGTGCGAATCACTTTGGGCAGGTTGTAGTGTTGCGTTGCGCATTCCACTGGGCAACGCGCTATGTTGCATGCTGCTCTTTTAGGCACATAGCTAGGCGAGACGCGAGGGCACCAGTTGAAGCAACCTCATCGTGTCTTCGGTAGCGCCAGCAGGTCTTGCAGATGAAGAGGCCGCTAAGAATTGAGCCCCTGCATTTCTTGGCAACAAGCCCGTCAACCAGGAACCCAACCGACTGGGGTGATGTTTCACTGCTACTCCGGATGATCTACATGAGGAGCAAGACGAGCAACTTGAGGAAGATGAAGAAACAATCCAGATGCAGATTTCGAACAAGCAGAAACCCGATAACAAGCCTGAGAGGAAGAAGCCCCGCGATAATCAAGATGATGATGACTCGCCAAGACATCAAGAAGCATCATCCTTTGAAGCATCATCCCGGTTCACACTACCTCTTGCCGGTCCGGATTCCGATGAAGAAGATGAGGAGCTTACACCGCATCTACCAACATCATCACGCGACACCGGACGGTCCCGGAGAACAAGAAGGTATCCTGATGAAGAAGATGCAGGAGATTCTCAGAGAACAAGACCTTACAACGATGACGATCCTGATCACAATGCCGTTTTCGACCCATTGCGGATATTAGGGACGTTTCATTTCGGAAACCTGTTTGCTCCTGGTTTCCAGGAATGCAAAGGCTTTGCTGGGATGTTGGACTGTGGCTTCGAGGGGAGTCGAACTTTTTTGTGCAACCGTGTCCCCCCCCGTATGAAAGGACTTTTTCTTCGAAAAGGGAACGTGTCGGGTGGTACGCGTCCACCCCCAAGATAGCCGGTCTCCCTACTCGTTGCTGCCTCTTGCACTGAGGCACTCCGGGGTGTGCCACAAGTTGCGGCTGCGCAGGCAGGGCGGCCATCCCTACTAAGCGACACACCCACACCATAGGGGATCGGATATTGCATGGGAATCTCACACCTGTCGTGCATGGGCTTCGGCCGAGCCAAGCTGCGTAGGTGTTCATCTCATTCTGGCATTCTGGCGCGTAGGAAGTCACAGAAAGACCTTTCTAATTACTCTTGGTTGGTTGCTGCACCGAGTTGGATCTACCAACTGAGCCTGGATCCTTGAAGCCTTGACGCTGGATTCTGAGAGCACGAAGGTTTCACTGGGAAGCCGGACGCGCATCTGCGTGGAAGCACAGGGTTGAGGTAAACCAGGTCAGGAAGACGGAGGACGTGGCCTCCATCTGTCATTGGTGAGTTTGATATGGCACTGGGTCAAAACCAATCGTACCATGGTCTATTTTAGTGGGGATTGGGATGTTCACTGGGGGTACGGGATTTTGACCCATGGCCATATTCTGGGAGTCAACCATGGGCCTTGCTGGTAGCTTGACAAACGCATGAGCAATGGTCCGAGATGCAGGCGCTGCTTCTTTTGGACAGGTGAAGCTGAACACCGCGCGCTCGGTTGGCACCTTTATCGGCCCGTTCTCCAGCATAGTGCTTGGAGTACTGCCGCAGGCTGGCGCCTGTGATGCTTCCCCCCCTTTTCTCTGCAAAACAAATGAAGCAGCATGAAGGCGCCCCTTTTTGAGGAATAGCGTGTCTAAAGTTTGTGCCACAAGTTTCCATTTAGTGAACGGGGCTCATTTGCATTTGGACCGTGGCTAGACTGTGCACACGTTGTTACCTACAATGGTCATGCGCAAGCTGATGGCATTTTCCAGAACATACCATAGCCAGGAAGGGCTCTTCAATGAGCTGAACTCTGCAGGCATGGGGTCTGCGTGGAGTTTGTACGCTCGTACCTGCGTTTTGATCCCTCAATGACCTTTCAACACAGGATGCCTACTCGTGGTCCATCACGTTTGGGAGGTGGTTGGGGGTCCACATTGGCCACAGTGCAAGTTAAGGCTCACGTTTGCACTGCCATGGATGTCATTGCTCTCACGTCGGGGGTTGTTTTCGAAATGTGGCAGGCATTGTGAGCCTGAAGTTGCCGGTCTCTATATTTCTATTTGTGGCCAACAAACAAATCGCCCACGAGAGGA